AACTCGGAGGAGTGAGGAGCGGCGCGCTGCCGCCCCTCGACGCAGGGAACGCAGGTAGGGGCAGGCCCCGGGGGAAGGGGAGGGAGGGACCGGGGGAGACCAGAGACAAGGACACGGGAGGCCATGCCTCGGAGACGAGGCAAGGAGGGGTGACCAAGTCGGTGGTGCCAGAGGAGGGTCTGGTGGGACAGGAGGCGACACGAGCAGGGGGCAGACTCAGGACCTGACCGAAACGCTGCAGCAAACACCTGACTCGACGCAGCTACCTGACCAGACGCAGCAACCGGAGGAGACTCTGTGGTCAGTGTGTACAGGCTCGACCCCGGTCGACGGGTAAACGTGGCCAAGTGGCGGCCCGTCTGAGCACACGAGCAGTGGGTCACTCGCTGCCCTGCAGGAGTGAACTGGTCAACTCTGGCATCCTGAAGGTCAGCACCACTCACCAAGTTCGTGGAGAACGAGGGGAGGTAGAGACCAGACAGAGAGCCTGACGGGGCCGCCGGACACGGTAGGACAGTGGAGTAGCGAGCAAGGACAGGACCCCCAGAGGGGTCTGCCAGGGAGACCGCAACCGGCCGACTGAGCGGCGTAAGGGTGGTGCGGTCTCGAAAGAAGGAGCGGGAAGCACCCGAGTCGAGGGTGAAGGTGTGAAAGACCTGAGCCGACTCGGTACCTGAGAGAGCAGACTCACCAGCACCTAGAGGAGCAGACTCACGAGTACCTGGAGCAGCAGACTCACTAGCACCTAGAGCAGCAGCCTCAATACCAGGGTCAGGCGGAACACACACGTAACAGTCACCCTCAGCACTAATAGACACAGCATACATAGCAGCAAGAATAGCATCAAAGTCAAGATCAAAGATAGCTACCCCCGACCTGAGCAGATCATGCCAACGAGGGATCTCAGTGGCGTCCGGGAACTGGGCACACCAGGCGACCGTCAGGCGACCGAAGCAGCGCTGGGTGGCGTGGAGGCCGCCACACTGCTCTCCAGTGCGGTCGCCGGTGCGCAGGACGTAGGTACAGGGACCAGTACCTCCAGACCCCTGGCGCCCCGCGTACCACTCACGAAGCTGCTGGGGTGAAGGGGTCTCACGAGAGCGCTGTTGCTGCTGGGGTCCCCGCTGTACAGCTCCGCCTCTGCCAGCTCCACCTCCGCCGCCGCCACCTCCGCCGCCCCCACCCCTCCCGCCACCGCCACCGCTGCCTCCACCTCCACTGCCGCCACCGAAGCCCCCACCTCTGCCACCACCCCCACCCCCACCCCCTCCGCCGCCTCCACCGCCACTACCGCCGCCCCCACCACCTCCTCCAGCTCCCTTGCCCCGCTTGCCCTTGCTGAAGCGGCGCCTCTCACTAGGAGCAAACGCAGCGCTGACCGACTCGGTGCCAACAAGGTCGACAGCAGCAGCAGAGGCAACAGAGGGCAAAAGAGGAACGGGGGAGCACCCCTCAAAGAAAGGGGTACGGGGGTCACCACGAGAGGCGCCTACAGCGGTAATACTAGTCTCGGCTGCAAGGAGGCGCTCCTCGAGGAGGTCGACAGTGAGGGTGGTAGGGCAAAGAGAGAGGAAGTGGTCCCTGACCGAGCGGAGAGTGTCAGGGAGTCGAGTGACTAGGTAGTAGAGGGTGATGTACATGGGGGGGGGGTTCTGGGCGCAGAACTCAGCAGGGAGCGCAGCGCGGTAGCGAGTGTCACTAGTGCAGAGGTGCGTAATGAGGTCAGTGACTGTGGCAAAGGCAGCGAGGTCAGGGAAAAGGTACGGTAGTATGAGGCGGCTAAGCGCAGCAGTGGCAGGGGAAGAGTAGCGTGCAACTACAGCGTCGTACAGAGTCTTAGCACTCTTGTACTGACTAAAGTGCGCGCGCTCAGTAGGCGGTAGGTGACTGCGCACAGCAAGGCGGGCAGCAGCATCGCGCGTGAGCCACTGCGAGCGAACGGTACTGTCAGCATCAGCAGTAGGGGCAGTAGAGGCGCTCGACGTAAGGTCAAACAGGGAGAGGCCATCTCTGCTATCGCACTGAAGGAAAAGCTGTAAGTCATCTAGCCAGACATCAAAGGCAACCGCTCGACCCTCAGCATCAAAGGTGAGAAGGGTAGGACTAGCCATGACAGGAGCAGCAGGAGACTAGCAGCGGCAGCAGCGCAACTGAGCTAGGCAGGACAGTGCGACTCGGCAGGGCGACTCGGCAGCGCAGTGCGGCTCGGCCGCGCGGCTCGGCCGCGCGGCTCGGCCGCGCGGCTCGGCCCGGCTAGGCTCTTACCAGGGGCAGAGCCGAGAGTTCGGGACGGGGTCGGGGCCGGAACAGGGCCGGGACAGGGTCGGGGCCGAGCAAGGTCCGGGACGGGGCAGCAACGGGGCCGAGACAGGGTCAGGGCCGGGGCAGGTCCGGGACAAAGCAGCAACTGGGCCGGGACAGGGTCGGGGCCGGGGCAGGTCCGGGACGGGGTCGGGACCGCGTGGTCGCGTAGGGGCCGCGTCAGGGACAGGGCCGGGCCGTGAAGGGACGGCGTAGGGGCCGCGTCAGGTGCAGTAGAGGGCCGCGTCAGGGGCGGCGTAGGGGCCGCGACAGGGGCGGCGAAGGGGTCGCAACAGGGGCGGCGTAGGGGCCGCGTCAGGGGCCGCGTCAGGGGCCGCGTCAGGGGCGGCGTAGGGGCCGCGTCAGGGGCCGCGTCAGGGGCCTCGTCAGGGGCCGCGTCAGGGGCCGCGTTAGGGGCCGCGTCAGGGGCCGCGTCAGGGGCCGCGTCAGGGGCGGCGTAGGGGCCGCGGTAGTGGCGGCGGAGGGGCCGCGTCAGGGGCCGCGTCAGGGGCCGCGTCAGGGGCAGCGTCAGGGGCCGCGTCAGGGGCCGCGTCAGGGGCCGCGGCAGGGGCCGCGTCAGGGGCGGCGTAGGGGCCGCGTCAGGGGCCGCGTAGGGGCCATGTCAGGGGCCGCGTAGGGGCCGCGTCAGGGGCGACGTAGGGGCCGGGTAGGGGGCGCGTAGGGGCCGCGTAGGGGCCGCGTAGGGGTCGCGTAGGGGCCGCTAGGGGGGCCGCTAAAAAAAAAAAATTTAGGGCAGGGGCGCAACGCGCGTCGGGCAGCTAAAAAAAAAATTCGTTATGGTGGGCCCTTAGGAAGGAACGGTCCCATGTAGGAACCCGCTCTATACCATGTGAAGTAAGAAAACAGGAATGGAATGAACTATGAATGAGTTTGGTACAAATAAGACCTGTACCCCTTAGAGTCTACCCCACTACAGCCTACATGTGCTAAGGCATATATATCTGACATGTTCCCCCTCCCCCCTTGCCCCCTCCTACGCCTCTGCTGTCGCTGTTGACGTCCTTGGTGCTGAGGATGTCGGGGCTGCTTCTGCTAGTGGGAAGCACCGCAGCAGCAAGGGCAAGGGTGGTAGGGGTGGTGGCGGTGGCAGCGGGGGTGGTGGTGGGGGCAGCAGTGGAGGTGGTGGAGCCAGTAGAGGTGGTGGCGGTGGTGGGAGTGGTGGCGGGAGTGGGGGCTTTGGCGGAGGCGGTGGTGGCAGCGGTGGGGGTGGCGGTAGTGGCGGCAATGGGAGCGGTGGCGGTAGGGCTGGAGCTGCTCAGCGGGGAGGTTCTAGCGGTGGCCAGAGGCAGCAGCAGCAGCAGCGTCGGAGTGAGACCCCGTCGCCCCAGCAGCTTCGTGAGTGGTTTGCGTGGGGCGTCTGGGGGTAGTGGTAGCTGCCCGTATGTCATTCACACGGGTGACCGTGCTGGTCATACATGCGGGAAGCCTCACACTCAGCACCGCTGCTTCTCCCGCCTAGACGACGCTTGGCACGCAGAGTTTGGTGACGATGCCGAGCGCCCCCGCTGGGCAGAGCTGCTTAGGTCTGGAGTTGCTATCTTTGACCTAGACTATGATGCTATCCTTACTGCTATGTATGCCTTGTCTATTAGTGCTGAGGGTGAATATTACCTGTGTGTGCTGCCTGACCCAGGTATAGAGGCTGCTGCTCTAGGTGCTAGTGAGTCTGCTCTCCCTGATACTGCGCCTGCTGAGGCCTTGCACACCTTTACGCTTGACTCAGGTGCTTCCCGCTGTTTCTTTCACGACAGCACCACCCCCACTCCTCTCTCTGCACCTGTACCGGTCAGACTGGCTGATCCCTCAGGGGGCCCAGTTCTTGCCCGTTCCTCCACTGTTCTACCGTGTCCGGCGGTTCTGTCTGGCTCACTGTCAGGTCTTCACCTCCCCTCGCTCTCTACGAACTTGGTGAGTACCGCTGCCCTCCAGGATGCGATGGTCACTACCACCACTCCTAGGGGTCAGCGTGTGTCGATCTGCATGTGTACACGGACGGGCCGTCACCTGGCCACGTTCACCCGTCGGCCTGGGTCGAGTCTGTACACCCTGTCAACCGAGCCTCCTCAGGTAGCTGCGTCTGCCCAGGTGTCCGCGTCTGGTCCGGTAGCACCCCCCTGCTCGTGTTGCCTCCTGTCCCACCAGACTCTCCTGTGCCACCACAGACTTGGTCACCCCTCCCTGCCACGCCTTCGTGGCATGCACTCCCGCCTCCTTGTCTCTGGTCTTCCCAGGTTTCTGCCTCCCCTCCCGCCCTCGCTTGCCCCGCTCTGCCTTCCTTGTGTCGAGGGGCGGCAGCGCGCAGCTTCTCACTCCCCCTCGTTTCCCCCGACGACTGCTCCCCTGCAGACTCTCCACATGGACGTGTGGGGCCCAGCCCACGTTAGTGAACAAGGCTACGAGCGCTACTTTCTGCTGGTTGTTGACGACTACATGCGTTACACCACGGTCTTCCCCTTGCGCAGCAAGGGTGAGGTCCCTGATGTCTTGATCCCTTGGATCCGCGCAGTCCGTCTCCAGCTACGCGAGCGGTTCCGCCAGGACCTTCCTGTCGTGTGTCTGCACTCTGAAAAAGGTGGTGAGTTCTCCTCCGACCTCTTGGGGAGGGCATCCTCCAGCCATTCACGTTTCCAGCCTCACCGCAGCAAAATGGGATTGCTGAGCGTCGCATTAGCTTAGTCATGGAGGTGGCTCGTATCTCCATGATCCATGCGAATGCCCCCCATTTTCTGTGGTCGTTTGCGGTCCGGTACGCTGCGCATCAGCTCAACCTCTGGCCCCGTGTCTCCTTGCCGGAGACCTCGCCTATACTGCGTTGGACGGGGAAGGTTGGCGATGCGTCGGTGTTCCGGGTCTGGGGTTCTCGTGCCTTTGTCCGCGATACGTCCGCGGATAAGCTCTCCGCCCGCGCTATTCCCTGCGTCTTCCCTGGCTTTCCCCCTGACGCACCTAGTTGGCAGTTTTACCACCCCACCTCGCGCCGTGTCCTCCCCTCTCAGGACGTCACGTTTGACGAGTCGGTTCCCTTTTACTATCTCTTCCCCTACCGCTCAGCCCCTCTCCCACCCCCGCCGCTCTTCCTTGTTCCAGGTCCCCCTCCGGTAGACCCCCTCTCCCCTCAGGGTCGTGCTCCCTCAGGTGTGTCTCAGGTAGACCCACTCCCTGGTATTGTGCCTGTTGAGGTCGATGTAGACTCAGGTGCTGCTCGAGGTGCTGCGTCTGGGGGTGCTGCGTCTGGGGTGCTGAGCCTGAGCGTGCGGAGCCTGGGGGTGCTGAGCCTGCGGGTGCTGAGTCTGAGGGTGCGGGGTCTGGGGGTGCTGAGCCTGGGGGTGCGGAGCCTGGGGGTACTGAGCCTGGGGGTTCTTTGTCTCCTAGAGGTCCTCCGGATGCCTTGTCGTGGAGGGAGTCTCTCTCTCCACCGCACCTGCGCGAGTGGTTTGCTCGGCGCACCCGCCTTCGGAGTGGCGCTGCTGGAGCCGGGGGGTCTGCCGCTGGAGGCACTGGAGCTGTTGGAGCTGGAGGTGCTGCAGGAGTTGGAGCTGGAGGCAATGGAGCTGGAGCTGCTAGAGTTACTGGAGCCACTGGTCCCGGAGGTTCTCGTACTGGAGGTACTGGAGCTGCTAGAGCTGGAGAAGCTGAAGGAGTTGGAGCTGGGGGCACTGGAGCTGGAGCTGCTGGAGTTACTGGAGCCGTTGGTCCTAGAGGTGCTCGTACTGGAGGTACTGGAGGTGCAAGAGCTGGAGGTGCTGCAGGAGTTGGAGCTGGAGACACCGGAGCTGGAGGCGCTGGCCCTGGGGGTGCTGGTGCCGTTGGTGCTGGTTTTGGAGACACTGGACGGCCGCGACCGTACTTCGTTCCCCTGATTCAGCAGGTTCTTGGTCTCCCGTCTTCTACTAGCCTTACTCCTCCCTTACTGTGTCCACTGCCTGACCAGTTGCAGCCGTCGTTACAGCCAGCCTCCCCACTGCCTGCTCCTTCTCCTTACACTGAGCAGACTAGAGGTCTTACAGAGCGTCGTGAGCCTGTGTCTCGTCCTGCCTCGCCTGTTCGCGCTGTTTGCACTGGTCGTCGTGTTCCGCGACCGCGTCCTCCTCCTGTCCCCGGCACGCACCATATGGCACTTCGTCCTTCCTCTGTTTCACAGCGTGTCCCCCTACCGTCTCCTCCTGCGTCCTCTCTGGATGACGGACCGGACCCTGAGTCTGACCTAGCTCGTGCTGCCAGTCCCACTGTCCCTCGTCTTCTCGCTACTATTGTCACTGACCCTTCTTTTGAGTCCGCTGCTGCGTCTGCCCTAGTCTTTGAGCTTGTTGACTTTGCTGCTGCCTGTCGTCTTGACTACGCTACTGCTCTTGTTGCTGAGTCTGGGTTTGCCTGTCCTCCGTCCGTCCAGGGTGAGTGTGCTCTTGGCACGGACGTCCTTGAGGACAGGCAAGAGGACTTTGAGTGTCTTGCAGCTGCTGTACCTTCTCTCGTGGCCATGCTGCTTGCCCCTGAGGGAGACCTGGAAGCACCAGACATCCCGACCCCACGCTCTTAAGCTGAGGCGATTACAGGTCCCTACTCCTCTCAGTAGCAGACAGCCATGGACGCAGAGATGGCATCCTGGAAGTCCACAGGCACCTACATCGACACAGTTCCCCCGTCTGGGGCGAACATAGTCGATGGCATGTGGATTTTCAGGGTGAAGCGGTCGCCGGGTTCTCCGCCTGCCTTCAAGGCTCGTTACGTTTCACAAGGCTTCAGCCAGCGACACGGAGTTGACTTCTTCCAGACCTTCTCCCCTACCCCGAAGATGACCACTCTTCGGGTGTTGCTGCATGCGAAGCTCAGCGTGACTACGAGCTGCACTCCCTGGACTCAAGCACAGCCTTTCTGCAGGGCAGCCTGCACGAGGAGATTTGGCTGCGCCGCCCACCTGGCTTCACTGGATCGTTTCCTGCAGGTACCCAGTGGAGCCTCCGGCGGCCAGTCTACGGTCTCCGCCAGGCCCCTCGCAAGTGGCACGACATAGTGAGGACTACACTTGCGGCTCTTGGGTTCGCTCCTTCGACTTCTGACCCGTCGCTGTTTTTACGCACCAACACCTCGCTGCCGCCGTTCTACATCCTCGTGTACGTCGCCGACTTGGTCTTTGCCACTGCTGACACTGAGGCACTGGCCCTTGTGAAGTCGGAGCTGCAGAAGAGACACACCTGCACTGACCTGGGTGAGGTGCGCAGCTATCTTGGCTTGCAGATCACCCGGGACAGAGCACGGCGCACCATTACCCTGACCCAGTCACACATGGTGCACCAGGTCCTTCAGCACTTCGGCTTCCGGTACTCCTCGCCACAGTCCACTCCTTTACCTACCGGTCACTCGCTCTCAGCTCCACCTTTGGACGAGTCCATAGAGCCGAGTGGCCCATATCCAGAGCTGGTGGGCTGCCTCATGTACCTGTTGGCCTGCAGTCGACCTGACCTTGCCTACCCTCTTAGCATCCTGGCACGCTACGTTGCGCCCGAGAGACACCGACCAGAGCACTGGGAGGCTGCTAAGAGGGTGTTGCGCTACTTGTGCAGTACATCGGGCATGGGGCTCGTGCTTGGAGGACAGGGTCCAGTTGTCCTCACTGGCCACGCGGACGCTTCTTGGGTTGACGACTTGGCTACGCAGCGGTCGTCACAGGGTTACACTTTCAGCCTTGGTTCCGGCTCTGTTTCTTGGCGGTCTACCCACTCTTCTTCTGTACTTAGTTCCAGTTGTGAGGCTGAGATCTACGCCGGGGCCATGGCTGCACAAGAGCTACGCTGGCTGGCCTACGCGCTGACCGACCTGGGAGAGCGGCCTCGTTCTTCTCTAGTTCTGTACATAGACAAAAGGCAATGATTGCTTTGTGTCAGGAGCACAGACTGGAGCACAGAATGAAGCACATCGCTCTGCGTTACTTCCTTGCTCGAGAGTTGCAGCCACGTGGTCAGCTTCGTCTTACTTACGTGGCCACTAGGGCCAACACTGCTGATATATTCACCATGGCACTTCAGTCTGGTGATCATCAGCGTTTCTGTACTGTTCTAGGCCTTGTGCCTACTTTGCCTCACTTGCTCACTGCTTGACTTGCTTGTACTGTGATCTGCATATATATACTTGCATGCTTACACTTGCTAGGGTATGATCACTGTACTGCTTGTTCTCTTTTATATAACTCAGCATGTGAACTGGACTTGTGGCCTTTGCTTGTGCTCGGACTGTGTGGTGACTTTGTGATCCACCCTGAGCTTGCTTCGCTTTTCTTGACTGGTCTTGTGACCACTTGTTCTCCCCCACTTTGTCTATGGGGGTGTGTCAAACTATTATAATGTTGAAGTTGTGTAGGTTGTAGTGGGGTAGCCCATAATGGGTACAACCCAATTAGGGTTAGTACTTGTACCCAACTTCTGTTCAATGCATTCATTCTGGTTCGTTCTTCTAACAGTTACCGGTTCTAGTTCGATGCGGTGGTCGTGTGCTCGCTGCGGTGGCAACCGCTCCGGCAAATCGTCCGGAAAAATCCACGGATACCGTTTCAATAGTTCCTGTAGTTCGGGCGGTACGGCTGCCCGCAATTTCTGAAAGTCGCTCGGCTGCTCTGCTTCTCCCACCAATGCGATATCCATCGCGTACACGTCAGCTCCAGCAGCGATAGCCTGTTTCATCGTGATGGCGTTGATGTGGACCGTCGAAGATTCAGGTGACTGCCAGCAAGGTAATTCGACCTAGTTACCACTACTTCGCACAGTGCAGCTAGCTACTCGTCGTCCATTCGATTCGCGGATTGTAGCGTCGCAACCAATCACCTCCCAGTAAAATGTCGTGCCCATCCTGTGTCATCGCGAGCATTTCCTGTGTAAACCTGAAGTTTTCCTCGCAGTGAACGTGTCAGTCGCAGCTTCCGTGCAGTTGCGGTATTAACTAAGCTGTGGCTTGCTCCTCTGTCCATAGAAATCTTCACTGCTGTCCCTTATATTTTCCCGTAAATCAGTATTGGGCAATCCGTGGCTGTACCCTCTTTATTCATCCGAGCCAGATCGATGGCGTGAATCGGTACTGTGACTCGGTGAGGGTCGGTGAGGTTGGGCGAGCAGGTTGTCTCGTCAGTAGTTGGCCCGTTTTCTACTGACTTCTGGCGTTTCCCTGCCTCTGAAACCCCCTCCCGTGCTCTGCTCCGCGGCGTCTCTGCTCCTCTGGGCATTCGCTTTTGCGATGGCCCGGCCTGTTGCAAGCAAAGCAGCAACCCTTAAATGGCGGAGTAGCTGCATTCGCCGCAACGGCATGTACGGTGGCGTGCTCGGTCGGCCCTTGACCACGATGTCTGTAGTAGGACCCAGTCTCGGACGGTGCAAAAAGTGATTTTCTCGGCGAGCGCGAGGATTTCGTTGAAGTTCGATAACCCGCGTAGCATGATTTCGTGCGAGATGTCCGGCTTTAGCCCTCTGATGTAACGGTCCACCCGCTCCGCCTCGTGCATGTACGTGCCCTCAGACGTGCGAGATGTCCGGCTCCGCCCTCTGACTTGCTCGCATAGTGCGAAAAAATCACTCGTGTAGTCTTGGACCGACCCAAGTTGTCGCCAAGTACGCAGCCTCTGACGCGCCGAAATAGAAGCCGTGATCGGCTCGAAGCGCGCCTGAAGCCCTGCGCACCACGCATCCCACGTGCTGTACTGGGCGGTTTCGCAGAACGAACTCCAAGTGACGGCTGGACCCGTGGGCTCTTCCTCTTGCGACGGCGGCTCATAGGCGCGTGGCGACGTCACGATGACTCGCCACCAATCCATGGCGGGGCCCCATAGCAGCGAAATGGCATATCGTATCTTCGCTGCGTCCGACTCGACGTAATTTGCGTCGAAGAAGACGTTCATCGTGAAGACCCACGACTGAACCGTCGGACATGGAGGTTGGCTCTGGTCAAAGAAGGGCGGGCGCTGCGGTTTGAGCGGCATCAGCGCGACGATGTCGTTGTTGCCGATCGTTGCCGCAAATTCAACGTGTTGACGGGCTTTGCGAGGCCCGCTCGTGCTTGGTGCAGCCCTGTTCCTCTCCATGCCAGGCATTGATTGGGCGGCGCCACCACTGGCTGCGCCTGAGCGCTGTCCCACGCTGTCGTGATGTGACGGTGTGCCGGATGAGATGACAATCAGCTCATCCAATTGCGCAGGTGCATTTGCAGGTGCTTGTGTTGGTGCAGGTGCATTCACCATTTATTGCTGGCGAGCAGAATCACGTTCCTCGTGAGTGTCGCTATTTCAAGCCGCGAATCTTCGAGTTAGCGGACGAGACGGTTGAGTTGCTCCTTCGTCAACGACGCGAGATTGAATTCGGCCATGGCGGGGGTGTCGAGCAAGCTCAGCGAGAGCCTCATTCGTGGCCGTGCGTGCTTTCGAGAGAGAACTTCGAGCGGCGGTGCCTTAACGCTGAGAGACGTCTACCCCCCCCTTCCCCCCCCCCCCCCCCCCCAAAATCGAGATAGTGGGGAAGCGAAGGTATGGGTGCGGTTCGAGAAGAGATCGTTGGCTATGAATACCAAGTGTTACGAGTGCAATTGAGCGAGCGAGCGAGAATTGCACTATCAAAGCAAAACACTACATATGAGCGAAGGCATGAGCGAAGAATATATGGCGAAGCCCAAGTGGTAACGGTAATGTGTGAAAATGGGGTGGGCTACAGGCCTAGCGCCGAGGTTGAGATTTGTCGAGGCGGAGGTCCGGAGCGTGGGTTACCAACCGAACCGTGAGGTTGGGTCGCGTCTGTCAAAATGTTATAATGCTTACATTGTTTAGGCTGTAGTGGGGTAGCCCATAAAGGGTACAGCCCAATTAGGGTTAGTACTTGTACCCAACTCATTAATAGTTCATTCATTCTCGTTCAGTATTCTGAAATGGTTTCAGAGCAGGTCCTGTTCCAGGACCGTTATCTTTAGGGCCCACCGCATAGCGATGCCCCAGTAGTCGCGCTGCCCTGCCCCGCCCTGCCCTGCCTATTGCGCCGCCCTGCTGGCCGCCGCGTCGCCCTTTGCAGCCCGCCGCGCCGCCCTTTGCAGCCCGCGCGCTGCCATTTGCAGCCCGTGCGCCGCCCTTTCAAACCCGCGCGCCGCCCTGCTGGCTGCCGCGCTGCCCTTTGCAGCCCGCGCGCCGCCCTTTTCCAGCCCGCCGCGCCGCCCTTTACAGCCCACGAGCCGCCCCTTGCAGCCC